GACAGTTCAAATGCTTGGGAAATTGAATTTTAAGAAGATATTAATATTTCCCTTATTATTCACATATTTCCTATGCACTCTTCAGTACTGGAGCAAGGCTACCTTTTCCCATGCATATTATTTTCCATTTCATCACCATTAATTTTCTCCTCTCCAAAATTCACAGTTTCATATATTATTATCATTTAAATTTTTATTTATCTTGCCTCTTCAGTGAGCCCTGCACTCTTTAAGGATATAGAACATCTTACCCCTTCTTTAGAGATGTTCTTAACAAACATTCAATAAATATTAAAATACATACCATGCTAAATTAGGTTTAAAAACTGCTTCAGTTACATATATTTGAGAAGGGACCACTCCTTTTTTTTTTCTTGTGTTTGTATTGCACTGAAATGGAGAAATTTAAGTAAGGATCATCATAGAACATTAGAACAAGAGAAAACTTTAGAGATGATCATTTCCATGCATTTATCCCATTGTAAAGTAGTAGCACATTACAAATRCTGCCTCCCTTCACCCTCTGCTGACCATTCTAGTAACTGCACCTTCTTTCATCTTATTTCAGAATGACTWTCATTTCAGTTTACTCTAAACTTAWGAAATAGGCTAAAGCCAGTTTTAAAATATGACATATATAATACATTTGTTCACACTCCAGAAGAACTAATATTACCCATAGGCCAATACTCATTTCAGCACTTAGGTTCTGTGATTGCCTCTATTCACAAATCAGTTTTTCTACTTTGTGCCTTGGACTAGTTAGCTAAAATTCTAACATCTCTGACCTCTAGTTTCTTGATCTGAGATCTGGAAATCAAATAATAATGATCTTACAAGGTTGTTTCAAGGCTAAACCAATGAATGCCTGCAAAAACTTAGAACCATCCCTGGAAAACAACAAGCCYTCATTTTTCCTGTTTGATGGTGGTGGTAGATGTGATTAATAACTACCAAGGTACATACTCTCTGCTTCCTGGTTGCCATATCTTGAGCTTCTTGCTTCCTTTATGCCCTTCCACCATGATGTCCTTGGGCCCAGAGATATGGACTACACCTCTGAAACTGAGAGCCAAAATAACCTTTTTCTCCTCTCAGTTGTTTCTGTCAGGTATTTTGGTCTCAGCAACATAAAAATTACAAAAACAAATTGGTATCAAGAAGTAGGGTTGTTGCTGTGACTAACCTCACCATGTGGTTTAGAAGCTTTCAGAACTTTTTGGAATCTATGGGAGAAATTTTYTGAAAAGCATAGAGATGCAAGTTGGAAAAGCTTTAGAATGCTATAAGTGGAATGTAATGGGCAATTCTGGCGGGGACTAAGAAAACCAGAATACTGATAGGACTGAAGATTGTAAATATTGGGTTCATGAGGCTTCAGAAAAGAAGAAGGACTCTATTAGAAATAGGGCTAGAGGCCATTCATGTTAGGTTCTGGCAAAGAAGTTATCTGTATTTTGTCCATGTCCTGAGACTTTGTATGAGATTGAATTTAAAGATGATGGATTAATTAATCTGGTAGAGGAAATTTCAAGGCAACATTGAATTTGGGGGTGATGTGAATATTTCTAGAGGCTTCTAATCAAGTTTACTGTGATAATCAGGAGCAGGAAGCAAAGCAAAAATATTTGAAAAACTTGGAATTTGGCCATAAAAGTGCATGTAAAACTGGGGCTAACGAAAGTTGTGATCATTAAAGATATTACAGCCACTAAGGAGTTACTAGATACTTTGCACAGAAACAATTGGAAAGATGGCTTGAAGGCACCTCTGGTATTTGCAAGACTACATCCATCTCAAGCTAAAGGGTATAAAGGTAAAAATTCCCTTAAGTAAAGACCTTGGTAGCACTCCATACATAAAAGGGAGCCTAGGGAGTTTCTTCACTCTGCTCAGCTGCTTGGACACTCAGAGACTGCTGTATTCATGGTCCCAGGAAGCTTGGCTACTGCTCCAGATTGTGGCAAACCTTGGTATCACCCACATTGTGCTGGTTCTTCAGGAATTCAGAATGCTAGAGTTAGAAGTCCATGAAGGCTTMCAATAAGACTTCAAAGGAAGGCCTGGGAAGCCAGGCAAAGTGTAGTAGGTTCTGAGTGCCGCAGGCTACCTGAGAGGGTAATGCAGGAAGATGTGAGAAGAAAGCTGAAGTTGCATTTAAGACCCCTGAGATTGGAGATGCCAGTATTGTGGAATGCCTGCAGATGAAAGCTACAGGAATCAAGCATAAACAGTTCAAGAAAAGGGGTTATGTAAGATGCAACTAGCAAAAACATAGGAGTAGAGMTACACAAACCCTTTGGAGAAAACAACACAATGTCTTGTAGCCCAGGTCCCAGCAAATCTACTACAAACCATTGTGCTACTGTTTGATTAATACATTACCTATAGCTTAATAAGTAGAGTTTCTGTTTAAATGATGAAAATATTTCAGAAATTGATATGGTCAATTGTTATGTCACTGAATTATAAATTTGAAATGTTTAAAACGGCAATGTTTATTATATGTATTTCTTTATATTAAAAATTAGACAGAAAAATTTTTTTCTGCTAAATGTATTTATTGTATAGGTAGCTCTACATTTCATTTTTACTGTTACATCGAATAAGTAAAACTGGGGCTAAGGAATTGTGGTCATTAAAGATATTACAGCCATTATTGTATAATAGTATTGAATCAAGAATATTAATTTTAGTATTACATATATACATATTGCCAATTGTGATGGTGAATTTTATATGCAATTTGACTGGATCATGGGGTGATCAGACATTTAGTCAAATGTCATTCTAAGCGTCTGTGAGGATTTTCTGGGTAAGATTAACATTGGTAGATGAATAAAGCAGATTGCCCTATTTATGTGTGTGGACCTCATCCACTCAATTAAGAGCTGGGTAGAACCTTTAAAAAGACTGTCCTCCCATGTGTAAAAGAAAATTCKTCCAAACTGTTTAAGTTGAAATGTCAGCCTTTGAACTCATTCAGACTCAGACTGGAGCTATAACAGTAGCTTTCCTGGGTCTTAAACTTGGTAATTACAGACTTAAAGACTCTGCAGTCTCCATAATGTTGTAACTCAATTCCTTATWACGAATCTCTTATAGATAGATTTAACAAAACTGCTTTTAAAAAGGAGGGAAGGAAAAGAAGAGAAAAAGGTAGTRTGGATGACAGAAACTATGAGAAAGTGAAAAAAAAACAGGTATTTTTATGGATTTTTCCGCCACTGAGGTAAGAAAATTGGGAAAGAAAACTTCTTTTATGGAGAGAGGGAAGCAGAGAATTTGGAAGGAAATAAAAGATCAATTGAAAATAGGGAATAGGATTTAACAGTCCATTAATATGGATTATATATTGAATTCCTAACAATTTTCTTGCAGATAAATGAAAGATTAAAATTTATCTTTTAGTCATTTTATTATCATATTGTGTTTCCTAATATGTAACTCCAAGCAGAAATGAGGCTATATAGGGCCCTAACCCTTTATTAGGATTATATTGTAAAAGAGGTTTGTTCAGGAATCACACAAGAAAAATTACTTGATTTGACAAGCAGATTTGGGAATTCCACCTAACGTTACATTTGAGTAATAATATCATATGATAATAATCATGGAAATCCAAGACACTGGATATGCATACAGAGAGATCAGATGACAGACAACCATGGTGATATGAAAGAGCATGATATAGAAGAGAAATATGAGAAAGATGAAATGGAGAAATCACCTGGAGTTAAGATACAAAGGTTCTTTTCTTTTATGCAACAAAGTTTTAACATTTTCCTACAAATATAAATAAGCCAAAATAGGTATTAAAATTAGAGATATAATCTTGACTTTACATTTCAGAGAGAGAAACAAGGAAGTATATAAGAGGAAAGGCTTAGAATATGTATTTGGTACTGTGGTGCTCCATCAGATTCCCTCTTTAAGGCCCATGCACCTGTACACTAGCTGTTAGGAATTCTGGCTTCTGATGGATCTCAGTTATGCCCCTCATGTGAAATTGCTTTGGCTGCAGGAAACAGCCTCACCCAGTTGTTGATCTGTGGCCAATTACTCCCTGATTCAGATAAACAAATACCATTCTCTTGCTTCAATTCCAGCTCCAGAGCTTTCTTTAAAGCTGGATGAGGTCCCAGTTCCAAATGTATTGAGGGTCAGCTGCTTTTTCCCAACATTGTCTTCCCTTTTTCTTAAAGGTGTGTCTCTCAAGGACTTTCCTCAATAAACAATCTGCATACAATTCTTCATTTCTAGAGAGCCCAATGTAAAGCATGGTGTACATTACAATTCACCAATATTTAAAAGGCAACATAGAAACGAAGAAGTGAAGGAAGGAGACTTGGAAACATTAGTGTAGGAGAAGGTGGAGAACAAGTAAAGAATAATAATGTGAAAGCTAATGAAAAGATCAATTTGAAAAGAAAAGAATGGTTAGCAGTACTGAGTGCCATGGAGAAACTAAGATAAAGGCTTTTCAATCTGTCTCTTTATTCTTTCAATAGCCTTTCTATTTTCTTAGATCAATGATTTCCTTTTGTAGAGGAGTGGCATAGACACATTAGACTGACAAAAAAATATTTACTAGAGATGTGTTAAACAAACAAACAAAGATTTATTTCTCACAGTTATGGAGACTAGAATGTATAAGATTAGGGTGCCAGCATGGTTGGTTTCTGGTATAAGTCCTCTTCCAAGTTGTACAGTTGACTTCTCCTGTCTGCTCACATGGTAAAAAGAGAATGAGTTTCCTCTTCTTATAAGGATACTGATCCATTCATGAGGATTTGTATCCCAAAGTCCCCACCTTTTGATACTCTCATTTAGATTAGTGTTTCAAACATGAATTTTTTTGGAGACACAAACACTCCCTTGTAATAAGCCTCGATTATTTTCCTCCCATAATTAAAATATAAACAAAACTTGCTTATGTATTTGTCTACTACAAATCAGAAATTAAAATATATCATGAAAACAATAAAGGACTGATTTAATAACTCGAAAATAGGAATAATATTCAGGAAGCATAAGGCAAATGAATGGGTCCTTAGAGCAGTCCTTGGCATAGAATAAACACTGTGTATGTTAGCTATATTTAAATTTGACAAAAATTTAATGTGTTCATCTTAAAGCTTTTTCTACTTGACAAAATCAGTTGATGTTTCAAAACTGGAAAATATGAGTAGAGAGATAAGGATTATCTATGGAAAAATAAGTGAATCATTGATTGATTCACTTGACATATATAGTGATTTTGAGAAATTAATCTGAAGTCATACTGCCTGAAGCTGAAATGCAGTACTGCTATTCAATAACTGTATGACCGTGAACAAATTTTGTAATTGCTTTGAGTTTGATGACATTTACTTTGCAGAATTGTTGTGAAGAATACCTTATTTAAATGTAACAGAAGTTTTGAACAGTGCTTGTCACACAGCAAGAGTTCAATAAATACCTATTAGAATTATCATCCATGGGGTTGGGGATATGGGTCAGTGGTAGAACATTTATCTGGTAGGCATAAGACCCTAGGTTCGATCACCAGTACTGAAAAAAAAAAGAATTATCATTAATAAAACAACTAAGCTTCAATTACATGCTATTTTGATTTGTGGTATTGTCTGAAACTCTTAAGAGCAAACATTTCAAAAGATGGTTGAAGCATCATTTTAAACATCTGATGTAAGCAAACATCAGTAYAGGTGTTGCACATATTTTCAGGACATATGTCCTGAATCCTGTCACTCTAAACCAGAGGTTTCAAGGAATCTGCATAGAGTTCAGGGGATCCTGAATTTTAATAGGAAAAAAATACATGCTTATTTTCATCAACATCTAATTAAAGTTTAATTAGAGAATTATGAGCAAGCAAATCAATCAATAAATAATACTTTAATATATTAGTATTACTTGTGACTTTATCTCAAACAGAAATTACATAGATATTTTATAACACATTACAATTATTGCAGAGGTTGAAATATCTTTTAGGCTTATGCTATTTTGAAATTACAATCATTATTATACTCCAAGCTGTAGCAAATGTGATTGAAGTCTTCTTGTCAACAGATGCTCCTGCAATGTAGCTGGAAAACTCTTGGATAACTCTACTACTGTCATTTGTTCAGCATCAAAAGGAAGACATTGCATGTTTTCACAGTAGTGACCCAGAAATCCCAATCTATAATTCCTTTTTGATTAAATGACAACATCAACTCCATCATCCATTTAACATTGGCAAGTCTGGACAGTTCAAATGAGAAATCTCATCTTACTCCATAAGGCAGCAGGACCTCTTAAAACACAAGTAGGTGTTCAGGCTATATGGATATGCCAGAAAAGCTATAACACATCAGATAATAGAGGTAATTCTTTAACTATTATTTATATTTGCTATTTAGAATAAAATTTTATTATGGATAGATTGTAAAATGAAAATCATGTATCTTGCTGAATTCTACGATTAGTAGAAAGATATTAAGGCAGGCAGTCTGCCTTCCATTCACTTCCTTCAAAAAGGGGTGGTGGAGATTGGATCTCTGCAGTCTAAATAGAATCAGGCTCTGTCAGGCATTCCTTCTTGGAGAATATCACATAACCTGTACAGTTCTTTTACATGGTTACATTAAGGAGACAATCAAAGTATGATTTCACAAGTCATACTGTATATTGCTTTATACCAAACATGTTGTTTTTCTTAGGCTTATGATGCTTAAAGATGAAGGGAATAACATAAAAAAAAATCTCACAAGGAACATACTCAATAGACGACATACATTAACCACATGATGAGTTACAAAATTATTAGTCTAGTTGCTCAGTTAGGATGGAAGTAGGCATTCATGAAAAATAGTCTAATTATAAAGTCTGAGGTGTACTTTCTAGAACTAGTTCTCAGAAGAAATGGCATCCAACACAACCTAGATCCTCAATGACAGGCAAGGCACTTTGCTACTTAWGGGCCATGCCTATATTGGTAGGCAAGGCTTCCAAAGAATAGTTCCAAGGCTAACAGGGTATGACCCCTTGGAAACCTGAGTTGTCAAGTCTTTGGAGAAGCAAWTGATAGTACAGCCTGCCACAGTCTATGCCTACAAAGTGTTTGTCAAACAATTAGGTTTTTAAGTACAGTCATGATGACATAGCAAGGCTTCTGTCAATGAGGGACTCATCTATAATGGTGATTCCATAAAATTATAATGAAGCTGGAAAAATCCTATCACCTAGTGACACTATAGCTATTGTAATGTTGTAGCTTAACACATTACTCAGATGTTGCTGGCAATGCTGATGTAAACAAACCTASTGTGCTGCCAGTCATATAAAAGTATTGCACATACAATTATGAATAGTACACAATACTTGATAACAACAACAAATGACTATGTTACTGATTTACAGGGCCTTGTGCATGTTAGGCAAGTGCTCTACCACTGAGCTAACTTCTAGCCCTTAATTGTTATTTTGAAGTGTATTCTTACTTATAAAAAATATCTACTGTGAAAAAGTTTGCCATGTTATGTCTTCAAAGACTCAGATATGTCATGTTTGCTGTGTCTCTTAATTTCATTAAGGAGTCACATCAAGTGAATGACCTACACTATCCATGTTTCTAAGTACACTCTACAATGTTAACATAATGATTAAATCATGTAAGGTATTTGATCTGAAAGGGGCTAATGTTCCATTCTTTACAAGAAAGGTGATCACGCTACAAATTGTCACCCCAAAATATGTCATTTGCATAAAAAACTACATAACTGTTTGGAATCTCTTCAAAGCTATGTAACAATAGGTATAAAAGGTGAAGTTGCATAATCCAAACACCTTCTTTGACAAACCCCACAGACCTCATCTATTGTGAGGCAGAGATGCATGTCAGGAGCTAAAAGACCCAGTGAGCCATATCCAATGCCACAGAATCTCTCTGCTTCTTCTGAACGTCTGCAACCTTGAAATTATTTAATTAAGTTTGATATTGATGATGTTAGCCAATTTTATTTAACAGGGACAAAAACACCTGACAACTTACAACAACTTAAAGGAATATTTATTTTGGCTCAAGCTTTCAGAGGTTTCAATCCAAGCTGCTCACCTCATGGCATCCTGGAAGCACAAGAGAGGAAGGGGCTGTGGACGTGATACGATCCTCATGGGTATACCCCTATGAACTAATTTATTGCAGCTAGGTCGTATCTTCTACAGTTTCCCCAGCAGCCAACAATCCATTTAACTATGACTTTCTCAATAGATTAATCTACTGATGAAGTCAGCGTCCTCATAATCAAATCACTTCCCAAAAGCCCTACCTCTGAACATTKCTGCATTTGGAGACCAAGCCTTCAACACATGAGCCTTTGAAGGACATTCTAGATCCAAACAATAACTCTGTGTAAAACTCCAATTTGGGTAAATCTGATTTAACATTCAGCCCTGTATATTAGTTCAGCAGCAGAGGTTATTTATTTTATTTTGCTCTTTTTATTCTCTTTCTTTTTCTCACACTATATTATGAAGGAAAGGCATGCACATGCAATATGTTGTACAAATATGTTCATGGATGATTATTCGTGAAACACTACAAATTTTAAATAACCTTGTAAAAAAGTAAATGATATCAGAAATAAGAATCCTTATTTCAGGAAATTATAGAATGCCATAAGACCATATATAGAAAACAACTGCCAAATTCTAGAAGTATATTTCAATATAATTGATTTTCTTTGAAACTCAATGCATTTTTGTCTATGCATTAAAAKACATTTTTGATATAAATGATGAAGCCTTCATCAAACTGCCACAAGGGTCCATGAATCAAAAAAGTTGAGAATATCTGTTCTGAACCAAGACTAATTATTTCTTGTCTTTAGGCATGTATGAACTATACCCAAATCTTATTAAAATGACAACTCTTCTTTTGATTCTTTTCATATTGCTTTCACTAAATTCAGGTCATAAATTCAAAATAATAAAATTGTTAAAATGTCCTTTATACCCAGCTATCATTCATGCCTCCCAAATAGTAACATAGCACTAAAATTTGTACTTTTGCCCTATGAAAGGWGGGATATTAAAATAATTCAATATGTTTTGTCAAATTTTAATTAGTTTAACCACTGTGAATACTGAAAAAACATATGGCCCAGTAACTCTTCCTTGGGAGCAAGATAGCAAAAAAGTATTTGGTGCCAAACATATAACTCTTGATTTTGAGCATCCCCAATCAATGCTAACACTATAGCTAAAAGTGTGGCTGTACTTTAGGGGTGCTGCTTCAAAACCCAAGAACTCATAATGAGCACAYTGTCTACCTTTGAATTTCTCTTWACCCTGTAGCTGAGAATAATTTGCCTTGTGTATATGCTTTTGTGAGGCAAGTAGTTCAGTTGAAATCTCCACAACATTGTTCTATATCAGCCTTTTACTCTGAGTCTTGTGGARCAGAAACCTTTTCAACCCCAAAACAGTACTCAATTCTTGGCCAGCCACATTATTGCTTATGAAATTATTTTATTGTCTGTTTTCCTTACAACTGTCAAACTCCAGTCAAATCTAAATCCAGCAACCTTATTTCCATTCTTGATATATGTAAATCCCATGACGAACAGTTACTCAAAAATCTAAGCATGCAATATCCTAACTCTACTTATACTCCCCCATTTTGTTGATGGCTCACAACTTAGAAAGATATATGTTATACAGGATATGCTGGACCTTCTGAAAATTCTGTTATTGATACTTCTTTATAACATAGTTTATTTTACTCAGATTGCCAACTTGAAAGCTCTAACATGAATATGCCAATTTGTTAAAGTTTTCATAGTTAACATCTATGCTAGTAAATATACCTCTAAGATTTTTTTTTATTTTGGTAGGAGTTTGACACAAAAATGGAAAATGAATTAATGACTTACCAAGAGTCACTCCAACATACAAAAGAAAATCTGTCAAATATAGTTGAAATCCACACATAAGATAATATTTTAAGATGAAGGATGTAAATATTCTGTAAAATCAAAAACCTATACTGATTTAACTATTATTAGCACCTAAAAGATAGTTAGTTATTCTATCTGATAATGAACTCAGAAAGACTTTTTCAGATATAACAAATATTCTGCCTCTATAGAAGAGAAAAAGATATTGTTACCTCAAAATTATCTCATGGATATCAAAGTAGACTTCAGCATTTTGAAGAAAGCAACTTGGTGATGTCCAAATCAACCAGTAGAAACTTTTGTTCCCCCGCCATGTGAGAGCACTTACAATGGCAGGATGAATTGCTCTAAATGTAACAAAAATATTAGTGAGAACATTTTACCTGACAGGCTCAACCAGTGACAAAATTCTGCCTTTTTTATAATTATAACCCAGAAACAACTGTTAAGGTAGGATAAACCTCTGAACATCCTATGGACCATCTAAACATTTAGAAATGAACAGCATTTAGGTGCCTACATTTAAAGATTTTAAGGCCTATCATTTTCTGGATGGATTATATTTTCTCTTGCCAAAAGATAAGGCCTCTAATTGTTACAATAAAAATATTTTTGTGTTTTATTTTCCTCACAGAAGGAATACATTCAATACTCTTCAGTGATAGAGTAACTCACTTTACAAATAAAATACTTAAGAAATTATTTAAGATTTCCCCTTTAAAACAGGAAATTACTTGCTTGCCTAAATATTTTTTCAAAAAGCTCTGGTAAAAAAAAAAGATAAAATTAATGTTATTTTAAACTTAAACTATTAAAATTTTCAGAAGGGTTTAATGTCCCACATTATATTCTAAGTTGCAAAATACTGTCAAAATCCAATATCGTGTGTACAATCATATGCCAATGGATGAAAGCTGTATATCCCAAGAGGTACCCCCAAATATAGTCTTGCATGATATACAACCTGGAGGCTGGGTACAATAGAAACTAACATAAGTCAGCCTTAGAAACATTGGAAATACTACTCTTTAAAATGGAGGGAGGGACTATACTAGAGGATTCATGGTTTGGTGTGCATAGGCTCAGAATTCTATACACTGCCTCAAAATAAAATAAACAGGGCCATCCAGCAATGTAGCTTGGTGGTAGTGTGCTTGCCTATCTGTAACTAGCACCTTGGGAGGCCAAAGCAGAAGGATTGAAAGCTTGAGGCCAGTCTTAGCAACTTACTGAGACCCCATCAACTTAGCAAATTTGTGTCTCAAAAAAAAAAAAAGACTAAGGATGTAGCTCAGTTGTAAAGTGCCCCTGGGTTCAATTCTCAGTTACCACCTCCCCCCCCCCCAAAAAAAAGAGTTGAAAATATTTTTTTGTGATCTAGTGGTCACACTAGACACATATGTCTCAATTATATCCATAAGAATATTAAAAGTCATAGAATCAAAGACTCCTAAAGGTTAAAGAATTTGCCAAAGAACATGGTTAAAGGGTATAGAATCAGAATATCAATACCTATTGGACCAACCCCAAAGCCTGTATACAAACTTAATTCAGAAAACAGAAAAGTCACAAGAATTAAGGTTGTAAAAAGCCAATTCTTTGAAGACATGACTTTGGAAATTGGTTTGGTAGAATTAGTCTAATCTAACTCAAATGAGCATTTAACTTCCAGTGCTTCTTGTTGGGCATGGATGTGCATTCATGTGCAGGAGGCAAATAAAATAGAGCAGCAGTTCTTAAAGATTATTTTGAGAATCTCCTGAAAGTCAAGGACCCAGTAACTAGAGAATGCATATATGTATACATAAATCACTTCCATATTTATATATATGTGTGTATATAAATAAATATATATGCATAAATATATATATATGGATGGATAGATAGATGGATAAATATACTCTAGGAAAATATAATAGGGCCTAATGACAATTTAAACTGGAAGSCAGGTTTTGGAAAAAATGAATTTAATGAGCTCTGTTTGAAGATGTAAGGTTCCCCCAACCCCTTTCTCCAGTAATTCTGTTTTTCTTCACTCATTTACTTTGTTTTCTTCTTTCTAGCTAGTGGCCTTCAGTACTCATAGCTTTTGTTTCCTTATAACTTTAGCTTGCACATGAGCAGTAGGGGCTCTGGGCTTTTAGTTGCCCATGAACCAATCAATACCTCTGCTTCGTTGACTCAATTTCCAAAACAGGTAATATGATTAGCTAAATTTATCTTTTTTTGTGCCAGGCCACTGGAAATTTTTAATCAGCTCATGAATTGATTTCCCTTAGATCAGACTGTGCATACATTGGCCCAAATAGCAGGGGCTAATTCCTATAGAAACTGGTGTGAGGACAGCAGCCTGTGCTTGATATCTCTATTAGACTAATTTCATGTTGAAATCAGGTTCTGAACCAGGTGACCTACACATAACCCATGGCCCTCTTGTTGGTTAGCACTTTATATAGCCATGCTACTCTGACTTTTGGCCTGAATATGAATTGTATAACTGTTGTTGTTTGGTATGAGATAGTCTCAGTTTCTTTTAAAATCTTTCCAGGTATAGTCCCTTCCTTCTTGTTCTAGTTTATGCTTTACTCCTTGTCTCCTGAAGGATCATTCCCCATGAAGGTAGTATTTACTAGGCAGGTTAAATAAGATTTCACCTTATAAGCATTCTCTTTACTCTTCCATCAGTTCCCAGAACCCAAGAGATCCTACTTTTGCCCCTTACTTGTTTCTCTGTTTTCTGGCTTAAGGAATTATACTAGACAATAAAGTCTGGTTTTATGCTTTGGTGAATCTCAGCTCCTTTGCCTATGTGGTTCAAACTAATATCTGAGTTTATACTATGATCTTATTCAGGAAAACTGATAATTTCAACTTTCTGAAGCTATCAAGTTAAAAAAATCAATCTGTGGTTCTAGGATGATCATACATGAGTCCCATCTAAAACTGAATATATAGATTAATCTTTCACACATGTAAGAGAAAGAAGTCCCTCCCACAAACCCCCCACAGGTGCTGGGAATAGAACCAGAGCCTCATGCATGCTAGGCACACTCTCTTCCACCACTAAGCCAAGCCCCTAACCCCTAGAAGAATGCCACCCCCAAGTTGCCCAGTCTGACCTCCAACTTGCAGTCTTCCTGTCTAAGCCTCCTGAGTAGTTAGGATTATAGGCATGCACCCCTGTACCTGGTACAGGGTAAAAGATATCTTTAAGAGAAAAATATATCAGTAAGGATTAATTCCTGGAATCTGAGCCAAAGAGCTAAATCAGTTCTTAAAGTAGAATCAACAATTTTTAAGTACGACTTTTACTTTATAAATAGAAGTGTCACTGAATGTGAACTTGATTTTTCATTGCCAAGGCTGACAGGGCCTTAAGCAATAGCAGAGACTTGGCAGGTGTGACTACCAACTCCTTTTCTATGAAACCATTTTTATAAGAACATAATTTACCAAGGATAATAATGTGCTTAGTAAATAATAACTCTATAACTATTGCTAGGGAACACAGAGTACTATTTGTAAACGGACTGGGGGGAGGTGGGGAAGGGTACCAAAAGGGCTAATGCTGCTGTTTTCCATCAAATACATCAGCTTTATAATTCTACAATTTTTCCCTTTTATCTGAGAGAGAAAAAAGATATGGATGCTATAAAGACCTTTTCATTTAGTTCATAGTCACTTTCCTTCAAACTACTGACATCATTCTTCATTATTTTAATATCCACAAAGATGACCCTTCCAATAATCTGGCCCCTCTGTTGTCTGACTTCCTTTCCTGCAATAATCTTGTTCTCTACTTCAACTACTAACTCAATGATAATAACCTAGACGTGGTCTTATTGTAACTACACTTCTCTACCTAATGACTATACTCTGCCTTTTAAGCTCATTTTTTCACCAATATTCTAATTCCATTAACTTTTCAAACACCTCAGACATGCCAAAGTATTGAACCTCACCCTCTAACACCCTCACTTCGCAAGTAGTGAGAAGAGAAAATAGTTCATACTTAACACAAAATTTTATACTTTCTCCAAATTTCCTTAATCTCTGCTAATAATTATATTTCCTAGGCAAAATCAGAAGAAAACTTTCAAGTACTTCCTTCATCATACCTACCAAACTCTTACTTTCCTACCATTGTGAGAATCTTCTCAGGAATTTATGCATACATATAAAATAGTACATTTAACTCCAAAGTCATCTCAGTTACACCTTAAGTTTGAATATTCAGAGACACCAAGGTAAGAAGGCTAAGCTAAAGAACTACAGGTGGCATGTTAYTTATTCCCATGGGTTAGGTAGAGATGGCAAGTAAGAACACTAGGATGTTTTAATTATTTCACCTAAAAATGTAATAAAAGTTTTATGGAACAGTGCCCAATTATTGATATGGTATTTACTGAGAGATGATTTAATCTTGAAAAACCAGCCTCTATCTCACAGCAAAGCCAAGAAAGGGACATGACTTTTGTCCTTGGAAAAACCCACAGAGCACTCCTAAGCACATTCCCACCCTGCTAAGTTGTTTATCTACAAATAACAGGAGAGATCTG